CCATGTAGTTTATGGTGAATAGTAGTTTTTTTCAGGGTCATTTATGCACCATCTAATTCCTTCAGCATCTTGATGAAGTGGCGTTTCGGTCGTGTCTTGTCTGTTACGTGACGTCTTTATTTGGAATATGCGTGGCAGAGTATCGATGAAATTGAAATGCCGATTTTAAAGACTGTTTCACTAGACGGCAATTTGCTATTGGAAAAAGTCACCCGTTAGCCAATTTTCTCCACTTAGCCTAAGAATCTGTTTCAAGAATACTAAAATCCACAGATTGTTCTGGGATGTCTAAGTTCATCTCTCAAGAAAATTGAGCAGTACTGAAAATTGTCGCAAATGACAGGAATTATTAGTGGCAGTTTATCTTGGTGAAATTTCCTAGTTCATTGGAAAGTAAAGTTTAAAATCTCACCACTTCTGATTGTCCGAACGATGGACGTGAGAGGTGGTGTAACTGGGTAATGGGTGATGATTTTCGCTGTGAATTTCCTCTTGGTCATTTTTGACCTCTTTCATCACTGCTTCAATGCTACGCACCTCTTCACCGCAAGTAAATTTATTAAAATTTTTTATTTCCGAAAGAGAGAGTCTTATCTACGGACCGATGGTAAAATCAGAATATTGATGGGAATCACGAATCTTTTTATTGCAGCCTCCCTTCATTTGGTCCGATAATCTTGTTTCGGGTGGAGCGTTGGCAGAAATAATGAAGGCCTTTGTAATAAAATGAAGTCGTCTTTGAGGTGACAAATAAGGCACTCCTTCCTCACCACTTTCGACTCCTCATAAATGCCTCATAAAATGAAGCCACCTCTGATGCAACAATTAAGGCACCTCTCTGCACCACTTTGGTAGCAAAGACGGTCGTGGACAGGTGAAGCCAGAACCGAAGCCAGTCAAATTAATGTTGACACTTGAACAGTTGTACGAGGATGCCTTAAAAAGATGATAGTAAAATGTATGTTTAGTCTGACTCCTGCTAAAGTCCAAATTTGAGTATGCAGACATGCAGACATTGCAGTTGCCAATGAGATTAGGAATGGTTGTGCCTCTTATTCACAGAAATAAAATAAAATATTAAAATAAGGTGCAATTATTTCCAAGATCTTGGCAAGGATAGTCAAACAAGTGCCGTTAAGGGAAAGACTTAGACAATGGTTGCTTGAGCCAGATTTAGTGAAGAAGCAGTCCTAATACTTAAAGAAGAAGGCAGGCAAGCTGTCGACTTTATTGCCTGCTGGTGAAAGAGGGCACAATTCTCGGGGAGAATATGCATCTTCCACACAGAGGAGGGCTTGGAGACCAGCGGACGCACAATAGACCAGCGTCTAAGTAGCGTATTAGTAAAACTGGGATTTAGGCTGACAATTAGTTACTACATAGACAGTCCCTTTTATCCAGCGTCTGCTTTGACACTTGCCTTGGTCAACCTCCCACATCAGCCGTCACAACATCGTCGGGGCGGTAAGAAGCACACCTATCAGACATCTTTGCAAGTGAGAAGATACTTAACTACGACCTCACTAGAGCCTCTTTTCAAGTCCACTGGATCTGCTGCACATTGCGTGTCCATCGCTAGTCGTTGGAACACCAACACACAAGTAAAGTCATTTAACAAATGATGGGCTTTAACCTATTTGCTTGGAAACAGGATTTCGGGTGTGTGTTTCTCCTTACCACGTTGTTCTCACTTCAGTGCTACCCAGCCATGTCTACCCATCTGGGTTGCATCCAGCTAGCAGAGAAGTGGAGGAGGTAAAGCGTATTCCAATAATTGACATCTTCAAGCAGGAACAGTGGCAGCTGCACAAAGAAAGATTTAGATGGTGGACGGCTAATGCCGCTTCCGTTGTTATTTGTTGTGCTTTATCAAGAAGATGAGGTTCGCCTTCCACTGCCAAGGTAAAATCATTCCCTTTTCACTACACACCAAATCTGGAGTGGAAAGACATTTAACAACGTGTGGTTGAAAGGCCATGTTGGGTAGTCAAGAAATAGCGCAACAGTCAGACGAAGGGGAGGAGTAAGTGGAGGAGGGCAAAATATTTGAGTAACTTAGATTCTCGTATAGAGAATAAAAGAACTATTTTTTACTTGGATTGTTTGACTACCGGATTCGGTAATGGGACTCAAAGCTTTACCATTGTGCTTCAGGCCATGAAAATAGCCTCAGCTCCACCTTACACAGGTGCTATTTTCTCCCCATTTCATATTCAGGAAAGACTTGAGTTGCTACATTGGCGGCAGCGGAGAGCCAATTGCGATCCTTAAGGACAGCAATTCCCATTTCGCCTCAGAAGTGCTAAACATCAACGAGGCGTCGCATACTAATCCAGTCCCATGTCCTGCAGGTGCCCTAGTAACAACGGAAGCAATACTGTCTCTGACACGTTTAGAGACGTTAGTTGAGGAGCTGTCTGTGCTTTTCGTACGATGATGTCACTGAAGTGCAAATGCAATACCTCGTGTACCCCGATGGTAGCTGGATAGAACTGAGGACGATAGAAATGAGTGGAAAAGGATGAAGTGAGATCAAGGCCTCAGTGGAACAAACGCAAAAGCCCCTCTCCACCCAACTGCGTTCAATTCCGTCCACTGTTAAATGACTGTTTTTAGGCCAGTACTTCTGCAACTATTGATGAACATACAAGATGACCTGCACAATCCTCCTTTCTCGGAGGTCCACACTAGCTCCTCTCAATTATGACCCATTCGAATGCTCGTTTACGCAATATTTCTACCTCTCATTAATTTTAGTGCAGTTTAAAAATTAACATTACTACAAATCACTACTTGTCCGTTCAAGTTGCCACCACTACAACCTACCATACTTTTTCCCCTCAGGCAGCGCGTTTTGCTTTGCTCTTTAAACTTTTTTATTAAAGCAAAGCAATCCTCAAGCCAATTCTGATCCCACCACTTTGCATTCCATTTCCTAATTTGTGTGCCTATTCCAATGTGGTGACGTGGCTGTCCAGTACTGAGGCCACGAAGCTTCGACAGCCATCACCCGGAAGTGTGGAGTAGCACCACCTCACCATCGAATTTCTAAATGAAAATCTTCTCCTGGAAGGGTGTTGTGGTGACAGTGAGGGAAGAAGAGGAAAGGGGTTATGCAATGTCGTGCATTGTCCGAGTAGGACTTTCCACCCACCTGTTCACCAGTTGTTAGTGCTTTCTGAGGCTTATCCACTAGAGATATGATGAGCAGGTGGATATCAAGAGCAAATTTGATTTGGCTCTCTGTAAGTGAACAGTAGTCCTGTGTCCACCACACAGGCACGCATAAAGCAGTCCTGTGGCAATAAAACGGTGAGTGGCTCAGAGGTGGAAGGTGAGTGAGTCGCTTGGCGATAACCAACACCACATCCGCTCGATTAATGGCAGTTAAAAGCAAATGTCATCCCCCATTGCAGAATCTGTGCCAATAAAAAGGCAAAAATTTGGCGGTTTTTAGAGTTTTGCTCCTCACACGTATCTTGAAGAGGGATATTTGTTCATCCTCCCTTCCTGGAATCATTAACTTGTCAATTAATAGCAGTGTCAAGGTAATCCATCGGTCCCACTCAGACGGAGTAATTGCCTCCCAAACGTCTACCTGAGATATCTCCACTGCGTCAGTAGCATTATAAAAATTAGGGAGTGTTCCTCAACCCAAATCATCTAACTTCCGTTGAACCACATGCTTCAAACATGGTTGAACTGAGTTGTTAAAGTGGGAGACAAGCTCGGTTCACATGTAATGGAATGAAGGACGTAAATAAGGGGAAAACAGAAGAAGGCGCAATAAACATGTCGTGCACATCTCTCTATGGTCTGTGGTAATCTCACAACCCTCCTCTACACTTGTCGCCATCCCAGTACCAAAACTCTCAGTTATTAATGTATAGAATAGCAAATTCATTGATGTGTTTCCATAATTCTTCTGAGAATGGGGTATGTTTGGATCACTGTCAGACAATGGAAACCTTCTGCATCCTCTCCTTCGTCTCACTCCCACAACTGCCACTTCTACTGCTTGTATGATTGTAACTGTGGAGTGGTGATTGTAATAGTGGCAGTGGCAGTGGCGGCGGTGAGGAGATAAGTAAGGTATGACCACAAGGGCAGATGGAACAGTGCGAATTGCCTCGACTTTTCAGTGACATGGCAGGTGAATTGGGTGAATGGCTACTCTTCACTGAGTGATTACTACTGTGACTGCACACGATTGGTCGGTCATAGGTGCAGTAGTGAGCCACGCCATGGTGGACAGTGTTGTGATGATGAGGCGCCGATTCACCGACCGCTCCGTTCTGCAGTGAAGGCGGGTAGGCTTGACTTGTAATGAGGTGCTGACAGTGATGATAACCGGTGTCAACAAATTGCTTAGGGAAGGGAGACTGTTTCTCCTCCACGCTTGCCGTGTGTCGGGGACTGTACGGTGCAACCTCCTCGTCTTCATCACCTGGCACATTGTCTAGGGGATCGTGAGCCTTCTTACGCTCTTTCCGGTACTCCCGATGAATTACGTAGATGGAGAGACAGGCCAACATGACGATAGTGAGAAGGATGCCCAATCCAATGTGCAGGTAACTGTGAGTAATGGGACCTTGACCTAAAAATGAAAGTACACCTCTCTTGTCGTGAGTGGGAATGTCATCTTAAGCAGAGTATAAGACACACTAAATGGAGTTGGATGATGGACATCCAAGTCAACTAGTACTTTTGACTATGCGACAACTCTGTAAAAGGAATATCTGTGCTAGCAGAATCATGCACACCGCTGCCTGATAAGTGCGCCTTTCTAACACAGTATTCTCCACGCCTACCATGCATGAGCCAGTCAAGTCTACTCCACTCCATTCCAGTCAAAACGCTACACGAAATACGCCCAGGCATGTTATAATCCCAGGGGACCTGCGTGGAGAGTAAATGCGTGCACTCAAATCCATCGGAGCGGCGACAAAATAAGTGGCTCTGTCAATGCCATTAGAGCAATTATAGTACAGTACAGCATGGTGCAGTACTGTATCAAACGATATGGTAGCGTAGAGTTAAGTAGAGTAGGGCAGAGGCAATACGGTGATGATCCCTCTAAGCGGTCAGCAAGGAGACATTCGAACTGACGGTGTGAAGGCTTAAAAGAAGACTGTGCAGTGAGCATCAGCAAAACACAAAAGGAGAGAAGAGAAGGGCTTAGAAGAGAACACACTGATTCACGCGGAAGAAGTCGTGGTGGTGGACATATGTACCCAAGAGAGTTGTCTGATTTCGAGTCTTCCCTGTGATATATCTACTCCACCAGCTCCTTCTTCGTTAAAATTACGTTAGATGGCAGAGGTTGGTTAGAGGCATCAAAGGGTGCATGCATAAATGTATTAAGAGAGTGTGCAGGAAACATATCCACTTTCCACTACTTGCAATGATGCCTATTTCAAGCCTTGCAAACACACACGTCTCTGTTTGACCTGGGCATTCAAACATTAATGTGAATGCGATGGTGATCTTACAATTGGTGGTTTCGTCCGAATCATCAGTGATTGTATGACCGTCCTCGGTGTACGTTCCACAGTTTGTGTATCCGTTGCATTCCATTTCCTTTGCAATGCAGTGACGCGATTGTTTGCACCGAAACCCTTCACATTTGCCTGCAATTAACAGAACACATCATCCAACTTTGCCGTACATTTGGCTGCATTCGGTAAATTTAAAATCCACTTACTGCTTTCCTGTAGAGGTAGTAACTTGGTCCAGACAAGTTGGAAGCCTTTGGCACCGTCTGCGTTCTCTGTTGTGAGCATGCTTAAGGATTAATTCGCCCGAAGTGAGTAAAAAGGTGTAAATTACTTGAAGGTGATTAGTTGGTGTCTGTCACTAGTGTGGTTGCATGCACCAAAATTTAGGTTGGTTAACGTTACCAAAAATTAGGCAATGATTAGCTAACGCATTTTCCCTAACGTGGTGATGATTACAGTATCAATTCAAACGCAGTAATCGAATGGGTTAAGATGATTTAATGGCAGGTGCTATGGCACCTGAACAATTAAACAGCAAGTTAGGTGCAGTGGTTAACTTTCCCCTAACACTGTGGTAGGAAAAGCACCGGAAGCATTAAAATGTCAATGTATCAAAAGTTTGCAGCCGCTACGTCCCACACACATAAGCCTTTTCCATAGCCTGATCATGAGATCCACGATGCTACCCTATTTTCGGAAAACAAATTACCTTGTGTCAGCTACAACACTTGTTTTGCTTGGCTGGTAACTGCTATAATGACAAAGCTGCAACAATTACGGCCAGAGCGCCAATGTGAAAGGCAAATCACACAAAGGGATTACCAGCCCTACCTTGTTTGTTTTTTTGCATTCTAAATAAAAGTAGGAATATAGCGCGTCAATTTGCTGCTGCAGGCTCCACTTCTTCTACATACTAGTTAAAATTCAGAGGTTGATTTCCATTGCCATTTTAAATAACAAGGTTAGTATTATTCATGAGCTATTCACCTTATTTACTCGTCTTTTCAATCTCCGCACTGATTCATCAGCCATTAATAACTTCTCTTTAAGCCCAAATGACTACTGACGAGTGAGTAGACAGAAGGAGCCAGCACTTTGCCATTAAGGATTCGGTTAACGAGAGGAATAATTGTTATAAATTCATGCTTTGTTATTGTCTTTTGAGAAATCTCACCAAACAATTCGTGGCCTATACCTGGTTACATACCCCTCTTTCCTTTAACTCAACAGGTAACTTGGGCTACTCTCATATTCGCATTTGCCAGGCACCTCGCTAGCCAATTGTCCATCTTCACTTGGGTCCCCATTTCTTCTCTTATGCCAAATGCTTGAATTAATTATGCAAGTAATTAATCACTCTCACTTGTGGAAAATTTTCTTCCCTACAAAATTTCCCATCTGCTAATAGGTGGATAATAAAGTGAAGGTAGATTTTGACAGATGTGACAATTCTGCAAAAGTATGTCAATGCAATATCTAAACATTCTGATCCCGTAGCAGGCAAATATATTAACAACTTGATAGTGGAAGGTAAAGTGGTACCTTATTGTGACTGAGGTGTGGTTGGCAACGAACGCGGAGATGGCGGAGGCGAAACCACAAATTGAGGCTGCAGATTGGACTGACTCTCCCACTTTTATTCGAATCACTGCATTTTTGCATTCTAAAGAAGGCGATTGTTTGAACAGGCAAGTTGGGACTCATGTAGATTGTTCATCTTTGAAAGTCAACACATTTGGGTTCTCATGTTCCTACCTGAATGTGACGTCACACACAGGTGACATGTGACTTCAAGATGACTGTGCTGTTTAGCCATGTCTCTAAGAACATGAATTTGTAACAAAACTAATCATTAAAAGCTCTTTCAACTAAGGGACTTCATTGAGGGACAAAGGTTCCTTGAAATGCGCACCAACCTTTGAACGAGCCCTCCACTGACAGTTCAGTGAAGTGGATCATAATTCCTAGTGCGGGCTGGTGCACGCTAACTTCCCAGTCACAATTCATGCCACTTGGGTAGGCGGAGGGATAGCCTGGACTGTGTAAGACTCCTCCGAATTCAGATGTATTTGCAGTAGCTGATGCACACAGATCTGGAATGTGGAATATCAACTTGGATAACACCATCATCACAATTCAACGAACTAGGTCTAAATAGCTACCATTTGTTAGATAATTGCTTAGCAAATTCATTCTCCAAGGAATCATGTGGGCAGCTTACCTTTTCCCATTGAATAAA